ATCTACCATTTCTAGTAGTTAATAAAAATTTGGAGATTCTCCAGCTTGTCATGTAAAATTCACCATTTTCCTTTGAGTCTAAGCATATATGCCTTATAAAATTGATAAAATGGTATTATACATTTATTCAAGAAGCAAAATGAAGTGTAAACCTTAGTTGATCTCGAATATGAGTGACTGTATTTTCACATCAATGTTATCAAAGGTTACGGAAAAACTCACTGGTATACATTTTAAACCAAACACCCACATTTGACAATGACAGAAGCAGACTGAAATGATTAAAAGTCTGCGTGGGTGGTCCTTCTATATTAACATAATGTAATTAATAAATATTAACCAACTAACACTCAGAGGGTACTTTCAGAGTAGAGAGCTAAAATACAGAATAACTTATGCTTCTGGTTCTCGTCAATCGTAAGTTATCTTAATCATGTTTCAAATAAGGCAAAACATACATGTCCTTCACCTAAATTTGGGACCAAAGTCACAGCTCATTGGATTTCATTGGACACATTTTAGAAAAGCAGCAAAAAGACTCCGGTTAATGACAGAAGTTCCAAGAATTGGCAAAATGTTCCATTGGTTTTATCATAAAAGATAACCAGTGTTTCCTCCTAAAAGTTTTTCTCCACAGCCAAAGCATTAGCAGCCACCTGTGACCCAAGGAACTTATATTTCAGCTTCCTCTGGAGGTGGGTAAGAGCAATGGACACCATTCAACCTTTATATATTCACTCTTCGCAGAGTAGAAGATGCTCCAAGGACGCTCTTCTGGACCGCAAGCAAACAGAAATTCCAACCACAGTCACTTAGTTAGCTAGCTAGCCTGTGACACACCTCCCATTTTCCCACTAGGCCAGAAACTATGACTTTTACTACCACTTTTATTTAGGTGTATATTTTCCAAAGCAAGAGATAATATTAGTCAAGAGAAATGTTTTAAGATCACCACCGATCAGTTAATCAGAATTGTTACAAGGAAGTTAAAAACAGCTAACACATTTAGGCTTTCTACACAGTTAGGACAGCACGTGTGAAAACCCACAAGTGAACACTAGGTGACGAGAAGACCCAATATTCTAGAACATTTGAAAAAGGGGAGAGAAGAAAGTCTGACCGGTCAGACTCTGGGCAAACCAAACAGGATGTCCGTGGAACAGTTCCACTGTAGCACTTATGCTTGAGGTCCATGGACTGTGGTTAGACTCACACCTGCCCTAAATTTGATTTCCAGGACCACTCTGAGTTAATCTAGGGATATGGCTAGTTCTTGAATTTAGTTCTTGAAACATCCAGTCTAGAAAGAGTTGCCCTTTAAGCAAATCTAAAAATCATACCAATCACATTTCAAAATATCATGTTTCAAATCTATCAAAGCTGACTGGGGACAGTAGAACTGCATAAAAACATGATGGCATATGCGAGGGGAAACTTCTCCTCCTGTTAGCCTGAATCATTACTCCCTGGTTTAGCCATGTCCTTTCCTGAAGGCAAAAGCTAGGTACAGAGAAAGCTGTAAGGGTGGAGGCCAGAAGGCTGATCCTGCCTTAGAATCTGATGAATGCATGCTCCTGACTGAAAGGGAGGCCCATACATTGATCATCATTCTTGTGTTATCAGTCGTTTCCTCCTTACCAAAGGAACCCTGCCAACTAGTAAAGATTCTGTTTCATTATACAGTGCCTTCACATTGATGGCTATTTCAGTGGCAGTGTCTCTCGTAAGACTCTAGAAAAAAACACAACAACACATCAAAGACAAGTAGTTCTGTATTAAATTGGGATTCAATCATCAGCAAATACCTTAAATTTTATTCTTCCAAGAAATTCACATCACAAATGTTTTTAAAAACCTACCAAATTTGTATTGTCATTGAATAACTTCACACTCATGTTTGTTAGTATGATTACTTCTTCTGACCTTTACAGCACAGAACCAACCAAATGCTCTGACTGTACTGATACACTCAGGACCAGATCTCCTACATACAAACGTGTGCCTGCTCCCAACAACATACACATATTCCCACAAAAAAGTTAAGTCAAAGGAAACGATGCCTTAAAGGGGCATTATCAGATCATAGTCAGTTCTATCCACTGACTTTGACTCTCAGAAGTTCCAACCAGATTGCTTTTTTAGCACTTATCTATTAATTTAGGTGACTTCCATCCAATAATTAAAAAGAATAAAATGATGCTATATCAGTTTTCTGTACCCTACAGTCTTGTACTGTGAATCACATTTCAAGAGAGTTATATTGTACCCCTTTTATTCACTATTAATGTGTACATTAAAAAGTTTACAGAAGTTAAAAAATTGTAGTCTCTACATTAAACATTACCAGTTTAGTAGAACAAAATGAAGTGAGAATAGCTTCTGTGTACAACTTCAACAATGAATAAACATCGCTAATAAAATACATAGTATCTACCTGTGCCCACATCAAGGTGTAGGGGAGAAGGTGAAAGAGAGGACAAGGAGGAATGGTAGCAGCCCGAACAGAACGAGTGGAAGGAAGATGGCAAGGTGACAGATGACTGAGAGTGAAGTGTGTGTGTGGGGGGGCGGGAAGAAGAGAATTTAAGAGCAGGAATGGAAAAATGGCAGGAAAAGAAAAATCAGGAAAAATGTGGGCACAGATTTACCATAAGCTTCTGGCAGACACTCTTATAGATGTCTAATGGTTTTCAAAGGGCGTGGCACATTGTACAGCATCGAAATACATGTGTAATACCAAACAATCCGTAGAATAAGAATTTACCATGAGCTCCTCACCTCTGGGAACCGCGGGTTGGCTTTATTCAGTGCGTGGGAACACGCATTCACAGCGTGGGCCAGTTCTTGTTCCAAAAGACAATGGATGGTGGCTGCGTCACAGATCCTGAAAGCAAAAGTAAAGCAGACGAACCAAAAAAACTTTGAGCACTGCTGATTTTTCTCAAGTGCAGAAGTGGT